ATATAAATATATATATATATATATATATACACATACATACATACATACAAACAAACATACATATATACATATACATATATATATATATATGTATCGCTCGTGCTTCCGCGGCGCACAGTGTCCAGATGATCACTGTACAGCCTTGTGAGTAGATAAGAACAGCGCCCTCGCAGCACGGGCACTGTCCTCGGTCGCATTGGGGAGCGACCTCCTGAAAATGGGGAGCTTCGTCTGTGCGTTGTAGGTCTGGAACGCAATAATCGCGCGCTCCAGCGCCACACTCTGTGGAAATTCGTCAGGCCCCCCGCTGCAGAGGCCCAGGCGATTCAGAATCGACTGCGGAATGCCAAGCTGCGTATGCCACACAGCGCGCACTGCCTGCCAAAGAAGTGGGCAGCGAGTGTAGTGCGCCATAGCGTCTGAGGCGCTGTCGCCCTCGGACTGCCAGCAACCGAAAATGCAGGGGCTGCAGACGTCACTCGAGCGAAGGCGACGGCTCGTGGTCCATCCACCAACCCAGGTCTTGAGAAGTGCCGAATGGGCAGCGGGCGAAAAGCTCGTGACCAGGAGCTCTTTGAGTGGCTCCCATTCAATCTGCGAAAGCGAAAAAGACTCGGCAGGTTTCGCACAGGAGATGAGGCGAGAGAGAAAAGTCACAGGCAGGCGGTCAGGGATGATGATGATGATGATGAAGCGCCTTGAAAGGTCGGTTCTCCCAAAACACAAACCTGAGAAGCCACCAATACGCCAAATGCGTACGGTAGAGAAAGAGGAAAGCGGGAGGAGAAGCGGGAGAGGGAAGGGGCAGAAGAAAGGTGAAGCCCATCCCAGGATTGAAACCCATGATACTGAAAGAAATCATGAATGAAAGACTGTCCGATGTCCCCGAATGAAACCCACCATAAGGTCCCTCTCGCTTTGAATAAAAATGAGAACAATGAGAAACGTAATGCAAGATAATGGATTATGCTCAAATTGATCAACAATATCTTGAGTGACTTGAGTAACTTGAGTAACTTGAGTAACTCTTGAAGCCAATCTTGAGGGCATATGTTCCCACGGCCTGAAGTAGTTAAGAAGTGAAGAGAACTTTCATTAAGTCCCATGAAACCCACTATAGATAAGTAGCAACCCAGACGGATATATGTACTGAAAGAGAGCCTGAAATTAAACTGAATGTCCCAAGCACGCAATGATCCCAGAAGATACGGAGGCATACAAAAAATGAACTGTCAAAGCCGAGTGGGAACCCAACCGTGAGAACCCACCCCAGGCATATCAAGGCATATGGAGTAAGATTGAATTCAAACAAGAAGGACGCAAGAAGGCTGGGAATGTTTATGACTTTTGTATTTTGCCAACCACCAACGTTGAAGAGCATGCAGGAGAGATTGAGGGGGACTGAGAGACCTCCCAAAAGCCGCAGGCCCATGCACCGCAGACGCCAAGAGGTTCAGTCTGTCGGAGTCCCAGGAGAGGCCTTCACGGATACTTCCAACGCCACTTTTCCACAAAGAAGTCTCCGTCCCACCAGTAGTCAGACAGGTACCATACAACTGGGTGAGGCCAGCCCGATTCGGGGTCGAACCACGTGTCATAGTACTCCGTATACCAGACTTTGGTGTAGACTTTTTCCTCTTCACAGTAGTTCCACATTCCTCCTGAGCCGTGTGTCCACTTGAGACGCTTCTTAGCTGCTAGCTTGACTGGAAGGCTGCGTTTGGCCATCCCCTGAATTGTATATGGATGTTTCCCAGCCGTCTCGGACGAGAGTTCCCGTCAGGGTTTGAGGCGAAACGGCTACTGACCAACAGCCAGTTCTTTCCAAGGGACTCTCCGAACCCTTTCGTCGGGACCCCGAACGTTGACATACAGTCTATTAAAGCCGCTGTCCCGACAAGCTTTGAAGAGCGGGATTTTGCACCAGTCATAAGTGAGATGAGGACCACCAAGGTCCGATGGTATAAGAAACCGAGCCGGCAACTTGACCACCCTTTGGAATAGCAGCGTAGAGCAGTATGAGAGTGCCTCAAGATCTTGTTTAGACAGGAAGCAGACTTTGCGTTTAGACCTGCAAAGCTTCCCCTGGAAGATAACGTGAGGGTCCGACGCCTTGGGAAGTAGCATACCGAAAGCTTGAGCCCGAGACTGCAGGAGCCGACAGGAAGCAAGGGAAGAGGAGGGGCCCATCAGAGGCAGCCAGAGGAAGGCGGGATTGTTGCGAAGCCACGGTGTCCCTAAGATCGCATGGATCAGGCGGGTCCCAGATAGAATCGCACAAGTGACATCTCCTGGTGTCAGCCAATCCCCTAGGCGGGAGGCAAAGAGAGGAGAGGAGAACACAAAGAGGTCTCGATACAGGCCCAAATGCAAATTCCGTGGGGTGTCAAATACCCCCGATCCATTAGTATTGGAGCCTGTTCTCTGAGGCTGCAATTAGGTAAGATACCCATACCTCTGAAGATTCCGTAACATTAAATTTGTGCACTTGCATTCCGTGGAACATTGCCACGGCAAACTTCCGAGTGTGGGGTGCACATGGGCCGCGAAAAAGGCGACGGTCTTTCCCGGTCCTAGCAAAAGACCCATGTTGATCAGCAAACGTCAAAATGGACCGAATGGAGCAGATGATGGGAGAAATCCCCTGAATTATGTTCCAGAACCGATCTGGCTCAACATACCCCGCTCCCAACCCTAGCTCCATCAAATCTCCGATAAGCTCTAGCCATCGAGAAGTGTCGGGTTCCCTGTTCCACCGCTCTCGGACCATCCTCTGTACACCGGTGACACGACCAGCGACTGAGCGAAGCTCCTCCATGGACTTGGACGAGGCACTGGTAGGTTGTCGTCTTTGAAGATACCTGGCCATTTGACCCCAAATATTCCACCAGACAGTGTAAATGAAGTTCCCAGGATCTGACCAGCGGTTGTCGTAGAACACTGCGCCCTTGTATGACATTGTCTTGATCTGTACAAAAGACATAGAGCGTACTGCAATTCCCACGATCCCAATAAGGTCCTTGCACGCCTTACTTGAGAAAAATTCCTCAAAGAGATTCCATAGCTGCCTGAGAGGTATCTCGAATTCACGTCCCTTCTCATACATGTGGAGTGTGACACATCTCCGTGGGTGGTATGATCCTGAATTTAAAGGGACGATCTCGGAACTTTCGATTGCCAGTGCACGTGGGCAGGCGGATGCCCACGCCTCGAAGATACAGCACTGGAGCGACTTTGAATTCCATGGCCTGGCGACCCTCTGAGGGGCAAGCATGAGAGTGTGTTCCCAGATAACTTGAGAAGAGGTTGGAGCAGAACGTGCAAAGCGAATTGAACCAAAATGACTACAGAAAGCAGCCAAGCCAACAGGCCAACCGAAAGATGAGGATTCGAAAGATGGTGAGATAGAGAAAAGAGATGCACTTTATCAGGGATCGGACGGCAGTCATCGTCCTGGCCAGCGAGGTGAGATTAACAATCCCAGGCCAAACCCATTTGTACTGAAGTGAAGAGGCAAACTGATCGCCAAACTACCCCAAGAAGGAACTTGAAACTTCGAGGACTTGGGCAAAGAGTGAGAAACAACCCCACTTAACCCCGTCAGCCGAATTGAGAAGAATATGATGCAGTCCCAGCTCATGAGAGGTGACCTGGGGGCCTAATGCCCTGAGACACTCGTAATCCCAAGCATTCCCAGATTGAAACGAAAGCCATAATCCTGGCAAAGTGATGAAATTGACAATCCCGTCCAAGCCCGTTTTGAACTGAAGTGAAGGGCCAAACTAAGAGCGAAGCAATCCCAAGTTAAGAAATGTCCCATCGAGGCTGTGGGCAAAGCAAGAATCGACTCCACTACTTTGGCCCTGACGGACATATTGAGGAGAGCAGAACTTAATTCATGCCTCAGAGAAATGGCCTGAAGTCCCCGATTGAACCAGAGTTGAACCAAGAAGAGAGCTGAGGACCCGAAGGGAAGAAACACTTTAGCTGTATCTTCTGAACTGCCTCGGTCACATCAGGAAACGAGGTTTGCAAAGCAGATGGCACCTTACATGTTGATCAGCAAACGAGGTTTGCAAAGCAGATGGCACCTTCAGGGAGGAGAGAAGAGACGAGGTGTGAGTGAATAAACTTCTGCATGCGCAAACGAGCCGTAGAACATTCAGCCAAATGGCGGGCCTTCTCCACCTTCCACTCACCCAGCGCATCGGCGCAGGCCATTGCCAGCGGTCGGTTCTTGTCGTTGGGGAATCCCTGCGCCGCTTCCTCGAGGGCGCGCGCGATCGGCTTCGACTTCCAATGGGGGGGGGGGGGGGGCATGCAGGCCGCGCGCACGGGCGTGGAACAAGAGGCCGATCTCCGCTGCGTCGCGCAGACGTCGAGCCCAAAACTGCCAGTTCAGGACAGAGTCAGCGGCACTGCGCACCAGTGCCGACCGGTTGCCGAGCTCGAGGGAGACCGCCTTCAGCGAAGTCCATCGCCCCAACGCCAGTAGACCACCTCGAGGTAGAGCTTGTGGGGGGAGGTGCCAGACTCGATCGAGGCAGCGCCCAGCTCCCTGTATTCTTCACCTTCTGCGGCCGCGCGAAGAGCTGGCTGAGGTAGGAGGTCATGCTTACCGCTCGCTGGTTGTAGAGCATCAGCAAAGGGCCGGTCGGGGCCCCGACGTCGGCGATCATGACAGTAGAGCGCTGCCAGCCGAGAGTTATATTATCCCATCTGTGTCCATCATCAACACTGGGTCCCAGTGGCACCCCCAGGTACTCCGCCCCATCAGTGATCGTCATGTCACTCCATCGTGGGACCAGCTCGATCTTGGCACGGATCCTGTCCTCCACCGCAGGGGCGACTGCCTCCGCCAGAGGGATGGTCTTACACTTCGCCGTCTTCAGCACCAGGCGCGCCAAATTCTCCGCCGCGTAGAACACCCCACTCATCGGGCGGAGCATCTTGAATGAGGGAAGGACGCTGCCCACGTCGTCAGCGCAGACCCCGATGACCGCGCCCTTGAAGCGCGCCGCCCTCGAGTGCAAGTCCCTGATCAGCGGGCCCACGCCCGCCGCACACAGCGTGCCCGACCAAGGGCACCCCTGAAGAATGCCCGAGGTGAGGGCACAGAAGTACTCGATGGCGCCCGCAAGGTTGGCGAAGGCAACAGGTAGGAGGTAGACCGCCTCAATCATGTTGCGGACGCCCTCGGGGAAGTCCGCTTTCTCCAGCGCTATGTTGAGCCATGTTCTGCACGTCGAAGGAAAGGCATCACCGAAGTCGTATAGGACCATCAGCGGGTCTTTGTTTGTCAAGTCATCATGCATGGCAGCGATGCGGGACTGCGCGCCCATAGCCACCACATGTTCGATGAATCGCCGCTTCGGCAGGAAGCCCTTCTGCGCCCCGTGGGCCCCTTCCGCAACGATAGGCTTCATCATCTCGTTGACCATGGCAGCGACGATCTTGCAGCCCGTGTTCTTTAGCGAGAGGGGTCTCGTGGCCTTGGCAAGTCTGGTGGCTGAGATTCTATCATCTGGTTCCGGCCCCTTCGGAGTGAAAATCATGAGCGAGTCGTTGGAGTCCAACGGCACGGGCAAGCCTTTCATTGTCTCGATCGCGACCTCTCATAGGAGCTGCGCCGCGGCGGGGGTGCACTTCCAGGCTGTGTACGGTATCCCATCAGGGCCAGGAGCCGAATTGTTGAGCCTGCGAATGAGGTTCCGCATTTTGCCCAGCGTCGGAATGTCCATCTGGGAGCAGTCGTAAGGAATGATGTGCTTGTCCAGGTAGCGCCTGACGTGCTTGTCGCGGCTCGGCTTCGCCTGGAATACAGGAGGCCACTGGCGTCGAAGCTCGGAGATCATGTCCTCAGGCTTCTCAGCGGTGCTGTGGTCGTGAAGGACCTCTATGGCCTTGAGCTTCAGCACCTTACCAGTGGGGGCCCAGAGCTTGCCGCGCCTCTGGATCGCCCTCTGCATCTTGCGGAGGCGTTGTCTCTGGCGGGGGTGGGTCTCCCTCGCTTGCTCCTCCTGCTGAAGCGCCTCCGAGCGCTGATCCAGGCACTCCTGCTGGTGCATCTCGAATGTACGACGAAAGGTCCCAGGCTCGATCAGCGCGATGTTGTTGCTGTCTGAAATGTCCAGGAACTTCGCTCCGAGCTTAGTTCGAGCATGCAACGTGCGTGCGCTCTTCCAGTCATTCCTCCACGCGGCCCTCGAGATCGCTCTGCACGTCATCAGAGCAGCCGCCGAGCATGGGGCGCGCGCGTCCGTCATGTCGTTGTGCGTCAGCCTGGCTGCTTCGCGGATGAGGCGCTTGCATTCCTTGAGGCGAATGAAGGGTGGGTAGTTGTCCACGTTGGCCGCCTCTCTCAGCAGGTCGAAGCATTTGGTGAAGAGGGGGCTCTCGAAGATGCACTGCGGGATTGGCTGCCGCTCGCTGCCCTCAGGGGGGGCGCGCTGCTAGCCGAAGGTGAACAGGGGCACGGTCGGAGATTCCCCTGTCAAAAGCGTGTCAGGCGCAACTGGAATGTCCACCTCCGCGCACCACTGGATCAGGGGCCACAGCGGCGAGCTGATGTAGATTTTGTCAATCCCGGTGCACTGCTGCGACTGCTCGGCGTAGTGCGATGGTAGCTCGGGGCCCACCTCAACCATGTCACCCAGAGCTTGTTCCCAAAGCAGTTGGTGCTATGGGTGGTGATTTCGACGGCGAGGGAGGCCTTTGATGACCAGCGGTGCCGTCAGCTCTAGCGGGGCCTCGTCCATGAAGTTGAAGTCACCCATGACGAGCGCGGCGATCCTCTCTGGTTGTTGTTCAGCAGTGCTGAGCTCGGCACGAATCGCGCCCCTTGCGTGTTGGACCTGGCCCGCGGTAAGCTGGAAGTTGCGGGCGTTGTAGATCGCGATCATGCTAGGAAGCGTGCCCGCTGCAGCCTTTGAGACGTCTGATTTGATTTGTAGGCGTTGGGCGCGACCAGGGATGGGCTCCGAGTGGCGGAATTGATCAGGGTCAGCAGCGTCGGCCGGCGAGATCCCGGGCAAGAGTGGCGCAACCCCACCAGCGCCGCGATTGGGGATGGAGGCGAAGCAGGCCGCTTCCCTGCGCGCTAGGTGAATGTCATGGCTGAGCTCCGCTTCTGAGCTATGGGCCTCCTGCAAGGCGAGCGCGGCCATGGAGTTCAGCACCTGCAACATGAACGCGACCACTTTCTTCCTCTTGAGGGGGTCTCTGCACAGCAGCGCCCTCGAGTTCCTCGTCGCGAAAGAAACCGGCCTCGGCGAATTTGAGCCCCGCCCAGGGGCGAGGTCTGGAAGAATTGCTCGAACTGCACGCGGATCTCCTCTCGATTGATGCCGTGCTGAAGGCAACCGTTGCAATTGAGGCGCAGACGGGTGGGCTCGTCCTGTGCGGAGCCGACCAAAATGGAAAGGACTGGCATGTCGTTGCAGTATATGATGCCCTGCTGTCGGTCACTTCGCCGCCACTTCGTGGCATCCTGTGCTTTGCACAATCGGGCAAGCTTCTTGGTCTGGAACTCCCTTCGCGCCGTTGTCCCCGAGCGGCCCAGGCCGAGGAAGAGTCTTGTTGACTGGCCATGGATACTGTGAACTTCTGTGTTGACCCATTCACCGTCGGGCCCATTGAGCTTGCTGTAGAAGGCTCTGACCTTCCGCGCGGATGCGTTGGCATCCCCGCTGAACTGAATGAGTAAGCGTCTCGCTGGGCTCTTCCCAACCACCTCCCAGTCGGCCTCGCCGAGATCACACTTGTCCATGATCGGCTTGATGCTCTGCTTGAGCTGTCGAGGCGGCCTGGGGCGATTGGATCTGCCCTGCGAGCTGCTCGGTTTGCTTCTGCTGCTGTCCGACGACCGCGCCCAGCGGGCTCCTGACCTACGCGGCGAACCCTGCGATGACTTCTTGCTTGACTGTGGCCAACTTCGCATCGAGCGGGGCCGTGAGGAGATCCTGCGATGCTTTGATGGCGGCGTTGGCGGCGTCCATGGGGTCGATGAGCTCGGAGGAGGTGGAGGCGTTGGAGGCGCCAGCTCGGGGCCTCTTGGCCCCTCAGCAGCAGCGCGGGAGAGAGCGGCCGATTCTCTCCAAGGGTCGTGTTGACGGATTGCATCTGGTTGACAGTCACCTGCTCGCTGATGAGGCCCCTCGCTCGCGTCAGCACCAGAGGGTTGGAGAGAAGCAGCAGGCCGATCAGCAGCAGCAGCTCCACGATGAGTCGCCATTCGCGGTGCTGACTGGTTGCCTGGGGCTGACCAGGACTTCGGGCATGGATGCCAGGGGCGGACCTGGACTTCTCAATATGGATGGCAGGGGCGGACCTGGACTTGGAGCAGTTGCCAGGGGCGGACCTGGACTTGGAAACAGCTGGATCTCTGGGTTGGAGCCTACCCCGCGAAGGCAATTCTGGAGGGTCCGCCGTTCGGCTTGAGCCAAAATGGCTACGGAATATGCGTATATAAATATATGCATATGCATATATATATATATATATATACATATACATATATATATATATATATATATATGTGTATTATGCACACTCGTCCATCCTAAACATGGAATCGTAGCATCCCAGCCAAACCGGGTTCCCCTCCCTGAGGTTCCCTTGTAAACAAAAACACTATGCGGTGACATGTTTTGTTCTAACATGGCACTTTGTCGCGAATCCCTGGCAGAAAACGAGACGAAGTGCTCGCGCGCGCGTCGTCGCGCGCGCATGCCGAAATCCTTCGAAAACCTTCGGTGCGGGAATGATTTCGCAATCGAGTTCCCAAACAACATACAAAAACACAGGGTTTCGCAACACAGAATTGCAAAAACAACTGCCGCGAAAGCGCTTGCGAAATCTTAAGGGAACCATCGGTGTTTCAAGACTTTCACAACATGCTACCAAACGAGCCTCGCGCGCGCGCATGTCGAAATCTGTCGAACGCCCTTGCGCGTGTGCCGTCGCGAGAATCCTCTGCAAAAAACTGGACGAAGTGCAGACGCGCGCGTCGTCGCGCGCGTATGCCGAAAGCCTTCAAAACCCATCGGTTTCGGAAGGATTTCAAAATCGTGCGTCCAAAAAATCTACAAAAACCCAAGGCTTCGCAACACGGATTTTCAACAAAAGCGTGCGCGCGCGCGCTCTTGCGTCGTCGTCGTCGTCGTCGTCGTCGTCGTCGCCGTCCCCCCTCCTCCCGCGTCGTCGTCGTCGTCGCCTACGTCGTCCTCTGTCTTTTCTCGTTTTCGTCGTCGCCGTCCTCCCTCCTCCCGCGTCGCTGTCGTCGTCGTCGTCGCCTACGTCGTCCTCTGTCTTTCCTCGTGTTCGTCGTCGTCGTCCTCTTTGGCGTCGTGGTCGTTTCCGTCGTCGTTGTCGCCGTGGTCGTCTTTTTTCCTCCTCCCTCGTCGTCGTCGTCGTCCGTCGTCGGCGTCTCGTCGTCGTCCCTCCTATTTCGTCGCCGTCGTCGTCGTCGTCGTCGTCGTCGTCGTTGTCGTCGTCGTCGTCTTCTTTCCTCCTTCGTCGTTGCCGTCGTCGGCGTCGCCGTCCTTCCTCCTTCTTCGTCGTTCGCGTCGTCGCCGTCCTCCCTCCTCCGTCGTCGTTGTCGTCGTTGTCGCCGTCGTCGTCCTCCCTCCTTCCTCATTGTCTTCGTTGGCGACGTCGTCGTCGTCTTCGTCGTCGTCGTCGGCGTCGGCGTCGTTGTCGTCTTCGTCGTCGTCGACGTCGGCGTCGTCGTCGTCGCCGCCGTCATCGTCGTCGTCGTCGGCGTCATTGACGTCGTCGTCGTCGGTGTCGTCGTTATCGTCGTCGCCGGCGTCGTCATCGTCGTCGTCGTTGTCATCGTCGTCGTCGTCCGCGTCGGTGTCGTCGTCGTCGTCGTCGGTGTCGTCGTCGTCGTCGTTGTCGGCGTCGTCGAAGTCGTTGGAAACTTCGTCGGTGTCGTCGTAGTCGTTGTCGGCGGCGTCGTCATCGTCGTTGTCGCTGTCGTCGTCGGCGTCGCTCTTGTTGCCAAGTGCCATGTGGTACCCACCGTCACGGTCGTAAGAGATTTTGCGAACCAAGTTGCGGGTGGGCGGGTGGGATGTTTGCGCGAGCAGTAGAGTGGACAACTCACTGCGATGAGAAATTAATTCTCCTTTCAAAAAAGAGAATCGGCTCTACCCCCCCCGGACTTATCGGTACCCCCTGGGATAATACGATTTCACACACATATATATATATATATATATATTCTGCACACTCGTCCATCCTAAACATGAAACCATAGCATCCCATCCAAACTGGGCTCCCCCCCTGAGGTTCTTTTTTTTTTAAAAAAAATTTTATATATATATATATATATATATATATAACAACACTATGCGGTGACAAGGTTTGTTCTAACATAGCATTGTTTCACGAATCCCTTGCAAAAAACAGGACGAAGTGCACACGCGCGCGTCGTCGCGCGCGCATGCCGAAATCCTTCAAAAACCTTCGGTGCCGGAAGGATTTCGAGATCGAGTTTCCAAAACCAAAAACATACAAAAACACAGGGTTTCGCAACACTGAGTTGCTAAAACAGCTTCCGCGCGAGCTCATGCGAAATCTTAAGAAAACCATATGTTTTCCAAGATTTTCACAACATGCTGCCAAACGCGCTTCGCGCGCGCGCATGTCGAAATCTGTCGAACGCCCTTGCGCGTGTGCCGCCGCGAGAATCCTCTGCAAAAAACTGGACGAAGTGCAGACGCGCGCGTCGTCGGTTTCAGACGAAAACCTTCAAAACCCATCGGTTTCGGAATGATTTCAAAATCGTGCGTCCAGAAAACCTACAAAAACCCAAGGTTTCGCAACACGGATTTTCAACAAAAGCGTGCGCGCGCTCATTTGCGTCGTCGTCGTCGTCGTCGTCGTCGTCGCCGTCCACCCTTCTCCCGCGTCGTCGTCGTCGTCGCCTACGTCGTCCTGTCTTTTCTCGTGTTTGTCGTCGTCGTCCTCTTTGGCGTCGTGGTCGTTTCCGTCGTCGTTGTCGCCGTGGTCGTCCTTCCTCCTCCTCCCACGTCGTCGTCGTCGTCGTCCGTCGTCGGCGTCTCGTCGTCGTCCCTCCTATTTCGTCGCCGTCGTCGTCGTCGTTGTCGTCGTCGTCGTCCCTCCTCCTTCGTCGTTGTCGTCATCGGCGTCGCCTTCCTCCTTCGTCGTCGTTCGCGTCGTCGCCGTCCTCCCTCCTCCCTCGTCGTTGTCGTCGTTGTCGTCGTTGTCGCCGTCGTCGTCCTTCCTCCTCCCCCGTCGTCGCCTTCGTTGGCGTCGTCGTCGTCGTCTTCGTCGTCGTCGGCGTCGGCGTCGTTGTCGTCGTCGAAGTCGTCGGAGACGTCGTCGGTGTCGTCCTAATCGTTGTCGTCGGTGTCGTCGTAGTCGGTCTTAACAGGTTTTGCAAACCAAATTGCGGGTGGGTGGGTGGGATGTTTGCGCGAGCAGTGGATATGACGATTTCAAGTTCACCAGAATGGATAACACTACATAGGTTTCCCTTTTCTGATAAAGGGGAAGTTACCACCATTCCCCCCGGGTTTAAACAACCCCGGGGAACCGATGTAGAACACATAGGGTCGTGACACACATGTCCATACTACCTTTGAAATCATACTTTCCCAGCCAAACCAGTACGGGTTCCCCCCGCCATCCTCTGCAAACAACCACTATGCGCGCACACTCGTTTATCAAAATACATGAGTTGTCAAGAGCCCCCTTGCCCCCCCCAAAAAAAACGAAGTGCACACGCGCGCGTCGTCGCGCGCGCATGCCGGAATGTTTCAAAAAGCTTCGTATTCGGAATGGGTTCAAAATCGAGTGTCCAAACAACATGTTTGAAACTGCTGCTGAACAAACAAAGTTTCGCAACACGGATGTTCAACCAAAGCGTGGGCGCGCTTTTGCGAATCTTTAAGAGAAACCATCAGATTTTCAACATGTTCAAACAAAATGATACCAAACGTGCTTCGCGCCCGCAAATGTCAAAATCGTTCGAACGCCTTTGCGCGCGCGCTGGAGTGGCACGATCGGTCTCGGATAATACCATGCGAGCCACTCTCGCGCATCTGCCGCGCGCGCATCACGAATTTCTTCCAAAACCTCCATTACCAACGCGAAGACGCCGTCATCGTCGTCATCGATGCTGAAGCGAAAGTCTGCCCCGTCGTGACTGGGCACCTGACGCACTCTGCAAGTGCCCCGAATGCGGCGCACCTAGCGCGGCTGGATTGCGTGGCGCACCTGGCGCACTTGGAGCACGTGGCGCATCTGGCGCACCAGGCGTTCCTGGCACGCTCGGGCCTCGGGCTCCATGGGTGCCTGGCGCGCGTGGCGCCATTGGCACGCGCGGCGCACCTCGCCCCAACGTCGCGCACCTGGGGCCGGCGCTGGTAACCACTAGCTGTCCATCCAACGACCACCGCTGAACATGCTCAAGTTCGGGCGCTACTTATGTGTTGGGGGACGGGTGGGAGTGAGCTCGACGGCTTGCGGGCGGTCGGGTGTCTTGACTCCTCCCCCCGCCCCCATCACCTGGACCTGGACGGGAAGGGGCCGCGACGCACTGGAGCGTCCAAAACGGCCTCGGCGAGGAAACCAAAACCACTGGTCGTGCCAACGTTTTGGCCCCAGTTTGGCCTTTTGGGGGGTGGACGCTGAAAAAAACTCGCCTCTTCTATGATCGATATGCTCCAAGATGGCCCCAAAAGCGCCCTGAAGGCTCCCAAAAGCGCCCTAAGAGGGCCCCAAGAGGCGCCCAGACGG